AAGTTACTTTGAATTTCATTGAATTTGTTGAATAATCAAACTAATTTTGAAAAAAGTTTGATTGAGTTAGGTTGGAGTATTATTCGCATGATAGTTGGGCAATGTGATGCCCCCCACTTGATTAAGTTTTCGTATAAACACGTTCTTCATTATCTACAAATGAAGTACATAAAAAATAGTCAAAGAAAGAAACAAATTTTAATTAAATAAGAGTTTAGCAACCAACTTACCAACATAACCACGTAACCAATTTCGAATGCAAATAAGGGCTATGACTTTTTCAGGAATGATAACTTTTATTTTTGGTGAGCACAGCACCAATAAAAAATGCCGACTTCGATGCATCGACAGTGATGAGGATGTGCAACTCATTACATGCCATCAGTGCAAGTGTCAGAAATCAATTCTATAATTTTTTTTCAATACCTAAAGTATTCAAATTCTCATATTATGAAAATTCAAGTTTCGTCTCTTCCAAGTAGAGATCCAATTGAGGTTTTCCATCACTTGTGATTGTTTGGCTCTCACAATCCACAATTTCCTCATTAAATAAATATTTCGTTTAATACCATGATTGTACATGTTGTGCTAAATGTCTATAAAGATTAAAACAATAAATGATTGAATATTACATCAATAATTTTTTTCCTTTGTTTCTTGAAAGAATGTGAGCTTGTCGCACTCACATAATGCTAAAAAAGTCTATATAACTTTGTCTTCATACGTGAGAGAGTCTTCACATGTCAGCGGATCATGCTCAACTTTCTTATAGAAAAACTCCAGTGTTTGAAGTTTAATCTTCGGGTTCAAGAATAACCCCAAATGCAAGCACCTCTGTGTATTGTCCCTAATACTTATCGAATTTTTCCTCACATAATTAAGTACATGTTTCTTAAGCTCAAGCTCATTGAGAGATTATTTATAACAAACTTTGAATTTTTCGAACTTGCATAAAATACAAGTTCGATGTAGCATACAAAGGACCGGAGATTAAGTTGATAGTATCATAAGATGACTCAAGGAACTCACAAATTTCTCTTCTTCAATTAAGGGAAAATTTTATAGTTTCTATCACGCATCATGCAGCTGAAGAGAAGAAAATGCCTTTTTGTACTTAATTGCACTCTCCAACATTTAATAAGTTTAGTTTCCTTGAGTATAAATGTTACCAACTGATTCTTTATTTTTTTTCAATCATACATTCAGAGCCTTTCACATATTTAATAGAATCTCTAATCTTTTCAAGACCTTAGTCCCTCATTGCACAACGAGATTCAATATGAGGGTTGAACGACGAATGTGAAAAAACTTACCATCACACAATAATCTGTCATGCAAAGAAAGTTGCTTCTTCAAAATGTCAAACATGCAATCATATCTAGTAGCATTTTCAAGCGTTAAAGAAAAGATTTTTCTCAATCCCCCGTTCCTTAAAAGATCCAAATACTTTGGAAGTTAATTCAACTCCGGCATGTGGAGTGTTTGTCCCGTTTTTGTTGCTATTTTCGTTGATTTCCTGTGTGTCGTAACCCCCGTTTTAGGTCTTTTCGTAGGTATTTTCGGTCCTCTTTGTCCTTTCTTATGCTTTCATCTTTATTTCGGTGTGTTTAGTGTTTTCTTTATTTTCGTTCCTATTTTCTTCGTTTTTTGTGTTTTTCTTTCCCGTGGTGTTGGTTCCAGGTCTTAGGATGATTGGAGGAAGAGCACTCTGGCAAGTAGGGAAGTGTGTTGTTCGAGCATCGGGCATGCAAAAGTTGAGTTCCCAGCTCGGGCAGTACCCGAGCGACATAGACGAGCGCACGAACCAAAGAAAAAGCAGCAATGTTGATCTTCTGGGCCTTAGCGCCGCTAAGGTGCCTTAGCGCCGCTAAGGCCATAGCTGTTAGCGCCGCTTTGAAGTATAACGGGACAGACAGCTGCAGCTTACCTTGCTTAGCGGCGCTAAGGATCCTTAGCGCCGCTAAGGTGGCTTCGCGGCGCTAAGAACCCTTAGCGCCGCTAAGGTCTATTTCGTAACAACTGCGCGATTTCAGCGATTTCGAATTTTGGAATGTTATTTGGCTGAAGCTTAGTCATTTTTCAGATCCAGACTTCGTTTTTGGGAGAATTTTCACCTTAGAACATTTTTTTTTCTTGCACTTTTCATCTTGAATTAGCTTTTGGATTGAAGAACTCCTTTTCTAACTTTTTGGATTTCGGATTGCTCGTGTTTGTTCGACATTGGATTCAAATTAATCGTAAGCATTTCTTTTCTTATTTGATATAATGATGTTTGCTTGGGTTAATGAATGTGTTGATGTTGAATCGATTATGAGTAGCTAAATTCAATAACTAGGGTTAGGGGATAATTGTTCCGGTTCGATTTCGTTGATGTGAATGTTGATTGCTCGATCTAGATGAGTTAAGCTTAACCTAGGGTTGAATGTCTGATCATCATTTAATCTACTTAATTGATTTTAGAACCGAAAGGGGAGAAATCGATCGACCTCGGCTTGTTTAGAATAGACTTGTTCGGTAACGTATTGTCTATGTGCTAATGAATTCGATAATTGCTCGTTTATGTTTATTCTCTTGTTTCGTGAGATATTGAGAATGAATTTCTAGATGAATTGGTTATTGTTTGTTCATTAGCTGAGTAATTGATTGCCCGTTTAGTGTATTGAGAACCGGATACGATCGTCCCCGATACCCTAGTCCTTTTAAACTATTGGAATTTGTGTTTTAATTGATAAGTTTAGAACTCATTGTTTTGCTTTCATAATCACTTGCTTTACTATTAGTAGTCGTTAAATCAAACTATCAATCTTGAATTAGAGTGTTTAGAACTTCTTTTCTTATTTTCGTGTGTTGAATAACCGTGCAAAATAATCCGGCTAACCTTCCTTGTGACACGACCCGGTGTCGAATCTTTGGGTTCTACTCCGGTTAAAAATATTTACAACATGGAGGCATAAAAGGAAAACAAAATATTTTATTGTCAACAAATGACAGTCAAACAAAATATATCAGTATATCACTCACTAGTGCAAGCAGTCTAAACATTAGAAGTTAAGCAAATCCTATTACCAAAAGCACATAATATTTGCTTGAGTTTCAATTTCTCCTTTGTATACATTTTGGTAATGTAAAAAACAAGAGTGATAGAAGGAACTTCTGGATTTATAGATCTCATCCAAGCTCTTATGCCACCATAATCGAGCATGAGGAAACATTTCACGTGAAGTATTGGGGCTAACCTTTCTAGATCTTATCTTTCCTTCTTTATCAACAAGCATTTAACTCAAATCACGAAACTTAATTGATTTGCATACTTGAATATGATGCTTCAAAGTAGAAGTTCCATATTTTTTACCTCCAACTTTGTACTCTTTATCACATGCTTTACATTTAGTCCTTAATATATCATTTGAACCCACATGAAGTCTATTAAAATAAATTCAAACACTAGATCCAGTATTTACAATATCCATAGTAGAAGGACTGACGCCGCCTTCATTAATATTGTCACTCAGATTTATCCAATCTTTTTGTGAAGCATAAGAATCCATCACCAATTCAACAATCAACTTCTCGAATAAAAAAGTAAAAAATAAAAATAAAAATAAAGCAATATAAAGAACCATATTTTAAAATTTTAATTCATCACGTCAAGTCACAGTCAAATTCACAACTCACATCCAAATACAAATTACAGCCTCAAGTCACACATTAGTCACAAGTCGCAACCTCACAAACTCACAACACAGGCCAAAGCAAACTAAGAAACTAAACTCACGTTAGAATTCCCAAGTCACAACCTTACAAACTCACAGTCACAACCAACAATGCAAGTGCTGGGAATTCACAAGTTACGGTGACAACCTTACAAACTCAAAGCAAATTTGTGTCAATTTGTATTAATGGCGTTGTAATATTGCCAAATCTTTCTAGATAATGTACGACAGCATGAAGACGAATGTGGTGAATGTGATTGAGAGAGGAAAAGTAAGTGAGGAATACATTACAAGTGATGATGAGCGACGACTCTTGGAACAATATTTGGCCGAAGATTTCACCCGCCAAAACCACCCATCTGTAATTAAGGTCTTATTGGACTCCAAAAAAGATAGGGACATTGGAGGTGAGCCCATGCCCAACCTCATTTACGTGGCCCGACAGAAGAGTCCAAACAGCCCACACCATTTCAAGGCCGGAGCCCTCAACACTTTGGTAAGGACTCCACCATTATTTCTGATGATCTTGTTTTGTGTGGCCTTCAAGTTTGTTATTTTTTTGGTTTTTGAATAACTACAAATTTAAAAAATGCCCTTTTAATTTAAGTAAAAGTAAGTAGATAATCACATTGTCAACATAATATTGAGATTTGTTTATTTTTCTTACTATATAATATATACCCATTTCTACTTTTCTTTTTAATATATATATATATTTTTTTCACAATATTTTATATTGAAGCTTCGAATATCAGCAAGCATGACCAACTCGCCAATAATTTTGACTTTGGACTGTGATATGTATTCCAATGACCCATTGACGGTCCAAAGAGCCCTTTGTTATCTTCTCGATAATTCGGGTGGGCCAAACTGTGGGTACGTCCAATTTCCACAACGTTTTCGTGGGTTCAATGAGGCTGACATATATGCTAGCGAAGACGAGCGCGTTTTTCGGTGAAACCCAATTGGCATGGATGGGCTCAGAGGGCCCATTTACATGGGAAGCGGTACATTTTTCCCTCGTCGTGTCTTCTTTGGAGGCCCATCCATGTATATACAGCCTGAATTGCCAGAGTTGAGCCCAGATTACCTTGTGAGCAAGCCCATCGATAGTGAAGTTGTTTTAGAGCTGGCCCATCATGTTGCCGAATGCAATTATGAGAACCAAACAAAATGGGGTTCAAAGGTAACAATATATATATCCAATATTTATGAAGTTTTTTGTTTTTATTGCAAAGATACCAACTTTAAGTGTTTATTTTTTGTATTTGAGTGCTAAATGCATTATTTTTTATTTATAGCTCATTTATAAAAGAATTGATATTCTCAATTATTTTGATCTTATTTTTCCATTATACAGATAGGCTTTCGATATGGGTCGTTGGTTGAGGATTATTTCACGGGCTATCAGCTTCAATGTGAGGGCTGGCGGTCCATTTTCTGTAATCCAAGCAGGACAGCCTTTTTGGGTGATGTGCCGATCTCGCTGTTTGATGTCCTGATCCAGAACCAGAGGTGGTCTGTTGGGCTTCTAGAGGTTGGGTTTTCCAGGTATAGCCCAATATCATTCGGCGTAAAGGCTATGGGAGTCCTGATGGCTCAATCTTACGCACACTACGCCTTCTGGCCCATATGGGCAATCCCCATCACAATCTACGCTTTCATCCCCTCACTATGCCTTCTCCAAGGTAAATTCAAACGTTTATATAGGTCACCTCAATTTCAAATTAAACCAGTGTTATTAATGGCGGTACATGACGGTTTGTCCGCCATGGCCGCCATCCTTCACTAATTTTGCATGGCAGATTGTCAAAAATCCGCCACGCCATACTGCCATGGCGCCACCATGGCTGCCATTTGAAAACACTTAATTAAACTAAAATAGAAAAAATATATATAGTACAACAAAATTATCTTATTCCAACAATGAAATATTCAACGGAATTTCAATGAATATTACAATGTTATAAGCTACATTATTTTTTATTTTTCATTTTTAAGGTAAAAAAAAAAAAAGAAGAAGAAGCAAAAGTGGAATTTACTTTGAATTTTAATGGTTGTCATTGGAATTATAGATGGTAAAAATAATTCTTCTTCGGCAATCCGTTGTTGGACTCAATAAAAATCTTCATAACTTTCAACAAGAATTTAATTAAAATGTAATATTTATTTTTCCTCTATATTGAAATTTCATGGGGAGTTATAATATTGGATAACTATTAATAATAACTATAATTAAAAAAATATCATTCATTTCAATCTACCGTCTGAAAATTCTATTAATATGTCTTTTTACTACTCAGACCAACGAACCTACATTCTTCTTGTACGCATTTCTGTTCATCGGGGCCTATGCACAAGACTGCTTCGATTTCGTGAATGCAGACGGCACATTACTAAAGTGGTGGAGTGACCAGAGGAAGTGGCTATTGAGAGGTCTCTCGTCTTTCCTATTTGGGCTTATAGAGTACGTGGCCAGCCGCTTAGGCATGGCTGCCAATGTGTTCAACGTGACAAGCAAAGTCATGGATGACGAGCTATGCGAAAGGTACAACCGAGGGACCTTCGAGTTTGGGGTTGACTCCTCCATTTTCGTCCCATTAGCAACGGCAGCCATTGTAAACCTCGTTGCCTTCATTTTTGGGTTTCTGCGCGCCTTTAGGGATGGGAGCTTTGTGGTTTTTTTTTGTGCAGATGTTTATTGCAGGTTTTGGGATTGTAAATGGGGTGCAATTCTATGAGGCCATGGTTTTGAGACGCGATAAAGGGAGGATGCCGGCGAGTGTCACGATCAAGTCGACACTTCTTGTGGGGTTGCTCTATGGAATTGTGTCTCTTCTTCAATGTGCATGAATAATCGATGATAATATATAGAAGAATAGTTGAAACAGTGAGTGATTAATAAATTGTGTTGTACTAAAAACCGAATAGTGAGTGAATAGTAAATTGTATTGTATTGAAAATTGGCCTAGGCGGCTGCCTCCGATTCGCATGAATTGGCTAAAAGAATCGGTCAGGCGGCTAGGTGGCGCCTAAGCAGGCTTGGCGGCAGGGCGGTGCCTAGGCGGGTTCAACGACAAATTTTCAGGTTCTTTTTTTTAATTACTAACTATATTATTTTGTTATCATGTTTTCTTTATACTACCTCCTATTTTTAATATATGTCGTTTTGAGAAGTTGCACACTAATTAAGAATATTTTTTTTGTCAATAATAACCTTATTTAATGAAGATAGAGATGAATGTTTTGAGAAAAAGTGAAGAGTGAATATGAAAAGACGTAATGTATTTATTGGATAAATGAGGGTAATAATGGAAAAATATGTATAAAATATCTAAAACGACATTTATTTGGCAAATAGTTGAAAAAGCTAGAATGACATTTAAAAAAAATAGGAGGGAGTAATATATTAATATTATTTACTTGGACTTAGGTGTGTGGGTCTCATAAGTTGAAAGAAATTTATTTTGTAGGTAGTGAAGATAAATAAAAAAAAATATTTGATCTCAATTTCTAGGCTCAGTCTAGGCGCTAAGCATTGGTCGAACGCCTAGCGACTTCTAGAACACAAGTGAATTTGAGTAATTACTAACTAGTACAATACATGTGTATTACACGTGTGTTGAATTAGGTAGCCTATACAAAAAATATTAAAGCTATTTTATTTATTAAAAAAAAAAAACTAAATAATTTGTGTTTTAATTAAATTGTCAAACAATATTTCTTTAATCATAATAATTAACACTCATATATTTCTTGAATTGGGATATCAAACTATATCTTTTTAACTTTATATGTAATTTTAGAATTTGGATAATTAAGTATTTATTTTTATTAGATTGACAATATACTAATTAAATTATAATCAACTATCATTGTAAAAGAATAATATCATATTATTTCATGTTCAAAATAAGTAATATGTGAATACTGGAGAAAAATATTGAGAAATAAATTAATACGATTGATTTAAATGAAGATATGTAATACAGAAGAAAATAAAGGTAACTATGGAAGAAAATATGTAATGAAATAAATAATGATTGTAAGAATGAAGGAAGATATTTAATATATTATGAAAATAATCATGTCTAATTCACATTTGATATGATACTCGAGTCTAATTATGTATCAATCCAAAGAATAAAATTATGACAAATAGAATCTTGAAGCTTGTGGTCTGCCTTTTAAGTTCTAACATATTAGAGAATTATATAGGTTAGCTTCATTTGGAAAACATGTTGCTGGCTCCTCTCTCTCTCTCTCATTTTTTTTTTTCGCCCAATTCCCTAAACCCTAGTCTTTGTTCTGGTGTGTGCGACGCCTCTTCACCGGCGGAGCCCCTCTTCCCTGGCGAGACCAGAGCTCGAGACGACACCATGGCTGACGACGAGCGACTAGGCTTGCGCGGCCTTCTTCGAGTGGTTTTGTTGGCCATGGCAGGTAGGTGCGATGGCAGTCGGGTCTTCTCTCGAAGGCGAGCGTCGGCGGCCTTTTGGCGGTCAGTTCTTAGGTTGACGACTCTGGTTTTTCCCCAGTTTTTTACCGTCCTCTGGTGTTAAGACGGCAGAGACATCCAACGAGTGTGGCTGTCAACTTCGTTCGGTCGACCTGCAGTCGTCGGATGCTCAGGGGCAGAGCTGGGGTATCGGTCTTTTGGATAGCTAGTCCCGGTGGTAAACTTTCGGAAAGATGTCGAGTTGTTTGGTCCAGATCTAGTTAGCCGGTTGGGGAGTTTCTAGCTCTGTGTGTGGGCCGTGGGTTGGGGCTTCCTGGTTGGTTACCTTGTGCTTCGTGTTCGTGTGGGGTTGTTTTGGAGTGATTCGACGGTTGGTGGAGAGAATTTTATTCCAGTATTAGTTTTTTTGTTGTGTTCGTCTCTTTTCTCCCGTGTTTCATGTATTCTTTACTTGTGGGAGCTTTGATTTTCTCCTGTTGGGATGTTGGGGCTTTTGCGGTTGGTTCTAGACTGCCATTGGTGTAGTCCTCCCAGCTAGAGTTAGTCGAGTAGTTTTTATTGACTATTTAACTGATTTCTAGTCCGTAATTATGTGTTTATATATGAAAATTATGTGTTTATATATGAAAGTCTATCGTTTCGAACCAAAAAAAAAAAATTGTTAGCTAAAATTTACGAGCAAATGCATTTTCTTAATATTTTTTGTCCATCACAAACCCGAGGGTAAAAAATATGGAGAGGAATCTAAGGGGGTGGTAAATCACATAGACGAATATCATTGTCAAAAATAAAACTAAAACCATATATCTATAATTATATTAAAAGAATAACCTTTTTTAAGTTGCCGCCAAAAAACTGGCGCCAAAACAATAAATGCGTGTTGTTTTATTATTTTTCAAAAATCTGTTTTATATACGTTCATTAAACCTCTCCAAAATCTGTTTTTTATTTCCTTATTTTTTGCTAATCAAAGCTGCCCAAAAATAGCTGATTTATTATAAGAATGAACGGCAGTTTTGAAATAGCTGATTTATTGGACAGTTTTTCTTTACAGATAGATTATAGATAGATATCATTTCCTTAATTATTGGATGGGATTTGTTTGGGATTTATTTATCTCAATATCAAACCCGTGATCTGCAATTAACGCACGTATAAATTATATTCATTTATAGAATATTAAGACATTTTTTACATTTTTAATTCGAACATTTATTTAAAACAAATCAGACTTCGACTTTTTTTCTTTATTTAAATACAATAGTCCATACTTATTTATAACAATTCCACTTAATTTGAATTTTTCAAAAGAGAATCCATACATATCCAAATTAAGTCACGTAACTAAAAAATACTCATCAAATCTAATTTAAACAAGGTAAAATAATATTGCCTCTTAACAATTTTGGAGATCGAAATTCTTAATAAAAACCACATCAAAAAATAAATTTTGATGAATTACAATTTCTTAACAATCCATTCATCTGTTTTTTATACGTTATTAAAAAATCAATTTTTGATGAGTTACAATTTCTTAACAATTTCTTAACAATCCGTTCTCTTTCCTAAAAAATAGATATTGTTGGACATTTATGAATAGGGAAATAAATTGGCCGATTTATTGGGATAAGGTATATAGAAAAAATCTTATCCCATCTTTAATTTGTTCACCCTTCTGTTCACACTTAATTTCATATAGAAAAATTCTATTATATAGATCCCTATAAATCTTTTAAAAATTTCATCTCTTATCTATTTATTCTAACATATTTTTTTCTAAAAAACAATTGTAACAGATTTTTTTTTTTCTTAAAACAAGTTAATTGTTTTAAAAATATAATTTTCACTCACCTAAATACTAATATTTTTTTAACAATTATTAACCCTTATAATATTTTAGATATTTT